ATTAATAATATAGAAGTATAAAGAAACTTGCCCTAGCAATCCTTACTCAACAAACTGTGTATTTAAGTCTACTTAGGGGCCAGCACTGAGAGGAAATAGGAAGCACAGCACAAAAATCAAAGTAAGATCAGAGTATGTTAGATCCAGAAATGTCTGTTGATAATTGAATTTAACCATCTCACTTCATTGATGATGAAGATGAGGCCTAGAAGGGTCAAATGAATGGCTTAAAGTCTCTGAGAGAGTTAATATTAGAAACAACTGAGTCCCACCAGTGACTGGCCTCATTGCCAAGGGCTGCCTCAAAATGAGACAAATCATGGCCCCAATGAATGTTTGACTGAATTAGGAGAGACAAGATATATAAATGACATAATCAGAAAACAAGATAACATGGAACAAACTTTTAAAGCTCCCCAAATGTCACTGTGGTAACTATTTGAGGTGATGAATATGTTAATTAGTTTGACCTAGTAGTCATTACAAAATGAATGTGCATATCAAAATATCACATTGTACACTTGATATACAATTTTTATTTTTAAAAATGTGGCTGAAATAACAGGGGCAATGCGAATTTAGGAGTGAGTAAGCAGCCAGGATGAATTGGAGATAGGACTGGAGCTGGGGCCTTGAAGAATGTACAACTCTGTGCTGGATTTAGATACTGCAAAAAGAAAAGTAGTTGTGTTCCGGAATGGAACTGGAGATAAGAGTAACAGACTAAGTGGTTGGCAATAGTCTAAATAATTGGGCATTACAATTTTGGTGAAATATTCAACAGAAAGCATTTACTGCACACTTCCAAATTCTATAAAGTTTCTAGAGCTTTGGGGAGGATATGAGAAGTAGATAACATGGCCTTTGACTTTAGAAAGCTTATTTTTTTATTTGGAGAGAGATAAGAACATAAGACAAAACTGGAGAATGTAAGCAAATAAGTATATAACGCAAAGGGGTGAAATATGTACTCTTAAGGATTTCTGGAGATGAATCTTGACTTCTTAGGAGAATCAGGTGTTTGGAAGCATGTGTTATCCCCCACATTAACAGGGAAACTTCAATATGCATTTAACATAGGACTGTGGATTATTCCTCTGTACTTGGTCTGTTTTAACCTTTTATTATTATTATTATTATTATTTATTATTTATTATTATTTATGCCTACAGCACTTGGTCTTCCAAGGTGGTCTCCCATCCAAGTACTAACCAAGCCCAAGCCTGCTTAGCTTCTGAGATCAGGCATCGGGTTTGTTCAGGGTGGCATGGCCGTAGACCATGGACTGAGGCTCCAGTGGGGCGTGAACCCAGGACCTTCTGCATGTAAAGCAGATGTGCAAACTGCTACACTATGGAACCACGCCCTGTATTAACTTTTTAATTCTCTGTCATTTCTTACAGTAAATCAAACGGTGGACTAAAATGCTTAAATATGATTGTCCATACAGATTTAAACCCAGAATAGTGAGTGCTTTTTCTTATTTGTGTCTGATGATTTGCTATTCTTCCTCTTTCATCTCTATCATGTTCCCATTCTTCCTAGAGTAATTAAAAGAGTATAAAAAGTAAGATTAAGAAATCAGACACCATTCCCTCCAGCTAACCAGTTTCCAAGTCCTATGGACTTCTGACATTCTAAATATTTCTTAACCTGTTCTCAATTTCTATATTGTATTTCAGGTCATAACCAGTTCTCACCTCATTTATGCAATAACGTTGCAACTAGTTTCTAGGTCTCTCTGCCTCTTTTCTCTTTTCCAATCCTCAATTTCACCACATACAATTAGAATTAACTTTTCAAAAACAAAAATTTGCCTTATATCTCTAGTGAAAAATCCTCCAAAGGTTCTTTTGGGCCTACAGGCAAACTTCAAACTCCTTTGCTGGCATACAGAACCTTTCTGGTCCTAGATCCTGCTAACTGCTCAGTCTCATCTTTAGTCACTTCCACGTTAAACTCCATTCATAAATGTGGTGTATTTTTTTTTATAAGTCTCATTTTTTTTTCATGCTGGAAAGTTGCTCAGCTTCGAACTGCAGAACCCTTACTCATCCTTCAAAGTTTCCTAATTCCTGGTCACCTCAGCTATGTGTTCCCTTTAGCACCTTTCCCACATAGTTAATATAGCACTTTTTAGAAGTATGACAATGGATTGTAAAGTCTGCTTTTTCTACTGAGCTGTGTGTTTCTTAATGAAGGACTTTCAGGCTCTCTGTGTCCTCAGCGATGAGGAAAACACTGGCACATAGGTCCTATAGAGCAGGGGTCCCCAACCCCTGGGCCAGGAACCAGTACCCGTCCGTGGCCTGTTAGGAACTGGGCCACACAGCCGGTGAGGTGAGCAAGCATGAAGCTTCATCTGTATTTGCAGCTGCTCCCTAGCACTGGCATCACTGCCTCAGCTCCACCTCAGATCATCAGACATTAGATCTTCATAGGAGCACTGGTCCCTGGTGCCAAAAAGGTTGGGGACCACTGCTATAGAGAGAAATGTACCTACTGAAGTTTCCTCCAACCTCCCATCCCCCACTCCGGGACTTGAAGTGGTCAAGAGAAGTGCTGTGAGGAGTTAAAATCATCTGGAGAAAATAGTGAATTAGTCTTCTAGAAAATAAAAAAGAGCAGGAAAAGAAAGGAAATGTAACATGTGGCCTTGCCAAGATGGCAGGAAAAGGCAGTACATCAGGAGACAGTTACTTCCACAACAGGAAAGGCTTTCAACACCAAAAAGGCCAATCTATTTTCCTTGTCAGGGAAAACGACATTAAACTTACCCAAATTTTTTGGACTCAAGCTGATTCCTTTCTTTTTTTTCAAGCCTCAGCTAGGAGAATGGTTTTTAATATGTGGTTACTTGGGTTGGTAGCTCAGCAGGGGAGTTCACAGGTCTGGGACAAAGAAGCTCAGCTTCAGTGTTTGGCTAAGAAAACCAGGAAGAAATCCACCTTTGTTCTTTAATATTTCTCCTGAGGAATGACAGGTTCGACTTAACTCTCCAGAGAGCTGGTTAAAATCATAACAGTATGGACAAGTGGAGACCTCCAATATACAGGTTATAATGATCAGAAGAAAGTCTTTTGAAAACACCTGGTTGTAACCCAACCATAAAGTCACTTGGGTGGCCAGTACTGAAAAGTGGTCTGTTCTCTTGGGTCCTTTCTAGCAAATGGCACCAGAAAACAAGTTTTGCAATATTAACGCACAGAAGGTTATTTATTTTTCTGATTGTGAAAGGAACATAAGACAAAATTATTTCATTTTAGAAAGCATTCAGTTATAAAAACAGTAATAACTAAAAGGCATTAAAAAGTATTTTATTTAATTTACTGCAAGTTTCCAATAAACAGGTCTGGTTCTCAGTTAGGTTAATGTTATTATATAATCTTCCCCACAAGAAAGTAATTCGCAGATGAAGAAACTGACAAGCTTGCAGAGCCCATGGGTTACCTTTCAGGAAGTGTGGCCAAGGTGTGGTTTGAATCCAGGTTTCTTACCTCCCGTTTCTAGACACCATATTCATCTCTTCAGACACTGATACAAATAAAATCTAATGGTGTTACCCGAGTATTTGTACTTTTCAGGTAAGGAGAATTTAAGAAATGAGAATAAAAGATATAGGAATGAGTATGAGAGAGCACTGATCCCACTTTTCATTTATTCGAAGGATAGCCTGAGAGATCATTTAAAACAGTACTTCTCTAAAACCAGTTAATATAAGGAAAGTTAACAATGCATAATGGCTACGAGAGACTTGACAAAGTTGTTAATAAAGCCAAGGCCCAAAGCGATACACCAGGACCTGATGCTTCATTTATATCGGCAATTAAATAATCACAACAGAGGGGCAGAGGCAGCTAAAAAGCAGGCTCTCGCGCGGCTACCGCAGTGGATATCCCTGGCACTCGGTGTTCCAGATGCTTCCCTACAGTCTGCATGTCTGTGTGGTGCAGTCTCCATATTCTACTCATTTTTCACCTCGGCTTGGAACCCCAGACGCAAAATAAGCCTGTAAAGGCAAACATCTTGTTCGATTTCTTTAAAGCCGGTTATCTTTGGTAGGAGGCAGCGGCCCGGGGTCTCCTTTTCGGCCACCCCGTAAACCGTCTTCGCAGCCGGACCGCGTGCCGTGCCGAGAGGTGGCCATTCCCCACTGCCGTCCCGGCCGCCGCTTGCGCGGGGGCGCGTGCGGCTACGGGGCGCGAGCAGGGGTGACCTCAGACTACCCTGGGCCCAACCGCAGCACGCTCTGTGCGACTACGCAAGGCGGTGTCCTGAGGTGACACCGGCGGCGCGGCAGAGGCAGTAGGCGCCGCCGATCAACTAGTTCGCACCGAGGATTCCTCTTGGTGCGTGGCCCAGTTTTCCTTAGGACGGGCTCCAACCCCTCGTTGACACCGCCCCCCGCGCCGCCACGCTCCGAGGCCTTCCCCGGGGAAGCCTCGCGTCCCTCCCCCGCCGCTCCGCTCGGCCCGGCGCGCGCGCGATTCCTCGATTCCACAGGCGGTTCGCGCCGCGGGTGGGGGCGGGGCGCGCAGGGAGGAGGCGGTCACCGCCGCGAGAGGGGGGCCAGGGGGCGGGCCGGTGTGGGGAGTTCCTTGCTCGCGGACCACACGCTCTGCGAGCCAATCCCGAGCCAGCCCTTCGCAGTGTCGCACGCGGGACACGTCCAAGCGTTTGTTGGCAGGGCCGGTGAGGGGGAGGGGGTGAGGAGGAGGAGGGAGGGGAGTTGAGTGACAGGCTCGCGGGGCAGGCTGGGAATTGTAGTTCTCAGCGTCCGTGGCCATAGCCATTTTGTAGTCGGGGGACTACAACTTCCAGAAGATCAAGGGGACCATTCTAAGGTGCCCCGGGAATAGGCTGCTCTCCCCCGGGCCGAACGTTTTGGGGCACTCGTACCCAGCAGCCCCGCTGCAGGTAGACGTGAGGGCAGTGGCGGGTGCTAGCGTGTGGCGGCTGTGGGGTGAGCGGCAAGCTGGGGAAAGGGGGTGAGGTGGAGCGACCGAGCGTGCCATGCATTGAGCTAGGGAGCCTCTGTCAATTCCACTCCTAGGCTCGGCGTGGGAGAGATGCCTGAGGGGTTGCCCGGGAAGGGTTCGTCAAGGCCTCGCGGGTGTCTAGTCGACGAGACTGCCAGGGTTCTCAGGACTGGGCCGGGGGCGGTCGACACCGGGGTAGGTGGTCGCCTGGTGGCTCAGCTGTGGGAGTTTTCGGCTAGCGTCCAGCGGGGAATTACCCGAGGAGCCCTTACTTGTATAAAAGCAGAGTCCATTTAAAGTTGGGCTGGATAGCCTCTCTCTCATTGGTTAGGGGGCTTGGAAAAAAGAGACTCGGCGAGCCCTCGCTGTGGTGCTGCCGCCGCCGCCGCCGCCGCCGCTGGAGTTGACTCTTCTGCTCGCACTGCTGCTGCAGCACAAACGTGACTTCCAACATTTTTATTTATCTTTCCCTTTTCTTTTCCAAGATGTAACTACAAATCAGACACTAAGGACCTTCACGTTTCGCTGATGTAGTTTTTGGAGGAAAGAGGGGGGGAGTGAAGGGCGTCGGTTTTTTTTTTGTGTGTGTGTTTCGGGGGAAATTTTCCATTATGAGTGTTTTACTAAAGTGAATTTTTTTTTTGTTTGCTTCGTTCGTCTTTGGCTCTTTTTTTTTTTTTTTTTTTGCTTCCCAATTTCGGATTTATTTCAAGGCGAATCGGGCTTTGGGGAAAGAGGAAGAAAAGTCGGATTACAAGATCAACCACCACCAACAACAATAAAAACCACCAGGATATTTTTTTGCAAATTTCTGACGGCTTTAAATTCATGAAGCAATTGTCCCCTTTTGCAATCAGCATTTGGATCTCAGAATGAGCAAGGAAAGACCCAAGAGGAATATCATTCAGAAGAAATACGTAAGTGCTCCTAACAACACATCCTTTGACTTGCAGTTTTAAGCCATGGCTGTGAATGTCAAGTTTATAGATAATTCTGCAGCTGAAGGGTTTTAAACAGCGTCCGATAAGGCTGTTCCTTTCTTTTCTGAAAGAGGGCTTTTCAGGCAAAGTCGTGTCTGCTTAGTTTGGATGAAAAAACAGATTGGTGTAGAGGTACCTTAAGTGAATAAATTGACCTCGAATGACACAACCATAATCTAGTTTTAGATGAAAGGCAAGGGATTTTGGTGGAGCTTGGGAGTGGGGTGGGGGCTGCGGTAATGTAACTAAACTGCATTCTCGGGCGGGTTTGGCCCCATATTGCACTTTGCATGCAAATGAGCCTGTGTTATTATTAATGTTATTTGGAAAATTGTCTAACGCGTGTGCGTTGGAAGCCCTTTAAGTTGCAATCGTGGGTCCGATTATGGCGATCCTGTTCCTTGCACTGGCACATCAAATTTTACGTATGTGGTCGTTTTGGCTTATCTGGTTCGCAACATAAACCAGTTGGGAATCATGTTACAGCGAATGCATTTGTTGGGATTGACTTTAATAATGGGACTGGTTTTGTTTAAAAATTCATGGTTTCCAGTTCTAGAGGAAAAGACATACAATATAGCTAATGTTTTTAAGTAGGTATGTGAATGTATATATAAGTGACTACAAATAATTTCTCCCTGTTAAATGGGTTTCTGAAATTGGGTGAGTCTTCAGAGATTTGAATGGTTTGGAGTAGTTAAATTTGTTTTGTGCATAGTACAGCTACGTTTTGATTGGCATGGGGACTGTTTTTGTTTTGTGTGTGGTGGCTCTTTTTTTTAAGTTTGGGGGGAGGGAGGGGAGTGGGGGACCCAGGGATTAACTAAATATGCACTCGAGTGATCGGTGATTAGCTGCATGCTTTAAATCAAAGAACCCATTTTTTAAGAGAAGGCCAAATGAACATACATTAGGAATAATGCAGCGTTATAAGAAAGTTTTATTTAACTCGAGTCGACAAATTGGTGTTAATATATTCTCTTTTTGAGCTGCGTGGTGTGTGTAATGGGAGATGACCTTCGGGGCACTGGTTTTGTAAAAAATACATTTAATGGAAAAGCTGAATACCTTTTTCTAGAGGGCTGATCCTAATGTAGACACGTAAACTTCAACTATTTAAGGAATAGAAGGTTAAGTAATCAAGCCCTACTTAAAAAGCTGTTCCCTTAAGAATATAAGAATTAAAATACATCCGCATTGCAGAGGGCTGGGTAGAATGCGAAGGACTAGTTTAAACTCTGGCTGTGGAAACTGCATGGAGACACCCTTGCCTTGGAGCGTGGACGCCTTCCCAGGGCACGTCCGATCCGGGTGCAGCGACAAAGCAAATGGGGTAGAACTTGGACAAGGACCGCCTCTCCGCCCCCATCCCAGACCTGGCTAAGTTAGAGAGCAGTATAGGGTGGGATTTTTTGTTGCTGGTGGTCAGCGGATGGTGTCGGGTCCGAGCGTCCGGCCGCAAGCCTGTGCCTGGAGGTGGCCGCAGGAAGCAGAACACGAGTTAAGGCTCCGGGAGCCGAGCGGAGCTCGTGCTCCCGACAAGCTTGAGCCGGCTGCCAAGGGGAGGGCGTGCGGGGGTCGCGGCTGGCTGGGCCAGGGCTGGGTGACCGCGCTCGGCCTGTAGGGGGCGGGCTCCATGCCCGGTGCTCGGGGCTCCCGGCTCTGGGCTC